TGCGGCGGCTGCGAGACCTGCACGGGCTGCAGCGCCGCCAGGCTCCCGGCCACGCTGTTGATGACGGGCACGCTCTGCGCCTGCGACGTGTTCAGGCCTGGCAGGGGGACAGAGCGCGGCGTCAGCAGCCCTTGCAGCAAACCGGAGGGATCCCCGCGGGAAGCGCGGGAGCATCCGCAGGGATCCCCGCGGGAAGCGCGCTAGGGGCGCCAGCCCCGCCGTCGCGGGATGCAGGACACTTACTCTGTGCGATGGCCATGACGCCGGAGAGCGGGGTCATGATGAGGTTCTGGGACTGCTGCGGGTTGTGGTGGGACAAGCTGTGGATGTTGGTCAGGGTGCTCACCGGGGGCAGCCCGCCCCCCGACACCGAGATCTGCTGGAGAAGCAAGCAGGACATGGCATTAACAGCGGGCACAGGCAGCCCCAGCTGCCCACCCGGCCCCTGAACGACCCAGTCATAAACGGCCACTGAACAGCAAGAGTGGGACAGGAAAAGGTTTCCTGGAAGCGCTTCCACAGCCCCAGGGACACGATAGTTCCAGCACTTGCTGCTTGCTCCCCCGAGTCCATGGTGGGGGCAGCTGAGGACTCGCTGCACTCATTAACGAACCATCACCTTGCAGGGGAAAGGTAGGTAATGCAAACACTGCAAGCTAGAATACCCCAGCAGGGCACAGCCAGTGGATGTGGGGCAGGGGCCTTGATTTAGGCAGCAATGAAGGGTTAGGCACAGGGCAGAGCCGCTTGGAGCACGCGAAACCGCTGGAGCTGCTTCCTAGTGCAAACGTGGGGCCGAGAGAGCACGCGAGTGATCGCACTGCTGCCCACGGGAAGGGGAGAGTTTACACTAAGACACTCCATCCCGTGGGTGTCACCGAGGTTGGAAGGGAGCGGGGGCTGTTCTGGAGACTGGTGCGAGCGCTGTGTTCATTTTGAACGTGTGCTTCGAGATGGCCCCTTTGCCATCGAAACAAATAGATCAATAAGTTCCAGTGCAGGAGAGTGAGTCACATTTCCTTATCCAGGACTTTCCACTTTCCCGGTTTCTCCAAGGCCGCATGGGAGCACGCTCAGGCGCGCCGGCCCATCCCAGGTGAGGTTGGACCCAAAGCCCACGGGCTGGGACAGCCACATCCTCGTGGCGCCCTGGCAGGAGCCAGCCCCAGGACACAGCACCTTCCCCGGCTGCTCCCGCTTCCCGGGAGGACATGGAAGGCACATGTTTGCTCACCGAAACCGCAGCCTGCAGCATACTTTTGTGAAATAACTTGCAAGCGCTAGCTAGCCTTGCCCAGAGATGGGAGATAAGCGGGCAGGCCGCACGGCAGGAGGACGGTGCCGGCGGTGGAGACCTACGGGGTCTTCCCACCACGTCCCCAAGCGGCTTCACCCACACCTCCCATTTCAGGGAGCTTCTGCTACATTTCCTTGGGGAAAGACACAGCAAATCCCACCCTTCCCAAGCAACCCCGTGAGAGCAGCCCTCCCTGCAGCGCGCTGCCCGCTGGGCTCCGCCGCCCTCGCTGCTCGTGACTCATTTTATGAGTTTCAGGCTCGGCGCTGCCATGCGGAGCAAGGAGGCAGCGGCCGTGCCGGGCCCAGTGGCGCGAGCGGAAGCGGGGACGGGCGCGGGGCGGGTGCTCCATGGCCCAGGGCCGTGTTTGACTTTCGTTTTCAGTGGCAAAAACGCCTCCCCGGAAGAGGAGGCACAGCCTGGCCAGGCGGCATCACCCCCCAAGAGCTGCGATTCCTAAAAAGTGGCCATTATTCCCTTTTATAGTTCCTAAAAATGGGTATATTTTCAGCAACGGCCGAAATGCAATACTCAAGGCACGCTGCAGGGCGGTGCTGGGGATCCAGAGGGATTCCCCAGTGCCTTATCCGGCTATCCCAATAGAGCATGCAAGGGCAGAGCACCCCAGGGTGAGCACAGCACCCGCACGCATGCACGGGCTGCAGGAGGACAAGCAGAGCCCAGCTCAGAAGGAAACCCCCACCAAAGGCAAAAACACAGAGAGCTTAAGGAAAAAACAACAAGTTAGGATTTATCGACACCCACGGCACCAGGAAAAAGCAAGCAGCAATCCAGCCCCATGGATGCGCTGAGGGCGTAGGGCTGAGCGCGCGCTGGGACCGGCCGCGTCCCCGCGCTGTCACCGTCCCCACAATGCGCCATTGTTC